CAAAAACCGATTCGTTTGTAAAATCAACCTCTTTTGATCCTTTTTTTTGGAATATTTCGGCCAAATAATGTCCGATTTTGTTATTTTATACCATTTTCGACTCGTAACGATCAGTACTATCGATTGGCATCAAAAGAATTAAAATCTAAATTTTGACCCAAATCGACCAAAAAGCAAGGGGTTACATCACATTTTTTGTCAAAATCTGGGTCGGTTCAAAAATCAAAACTTTTTTGATGAATTTTGTTGAATATCTCGGGTAATTACTGTCAGATTTTGAAGTTTTATACCTTTTTGAATTTGTACGGATCCCTTTTATCAATTGGCATTCAAACAAATCGATGGCTTAAGAAAAGTTTTTGAACAAAAACCGATTCGTTTGTAAAATCAACCTCTTTTGATCCTTTTTTTGGAATATCTCGGCCAAATAATGTCCGATTTTGTTATTTTATACCATTTTCGACTCGTAACGATCAGTACTATCGATTGGCATCAAAAGAATTAAAATCTAAATTTTGACCCAAATCGACCAAAAAGCAAGGGGTTACATCACGTTTTTTGTCAAAATCTGGGTTGGTTCAAAAATCAAAACTTTTTTGATGAATTTTGTTGAATATCTCGGGTAATTACTGTCAGATTTTGAAGTTTTATACCTTTTTGAATTTGTACGGATCCCTATTATCAATTGGCATTCAAACAAATCAAAAATCGATGGCTTAAGAAAAGTTTTTGAACAAAAACCGATTCGTTTGTAAAATCAACCTCTTGTGATCCTTTTTTTTGGAATATCTCGGCCAAATAATGTCCGATTTTGTTATTTTATACCATTTTCGACTCGTAACGATCAGTACTATCGATTGGCATCAAAAGAATTAAAATCTAAATTTTGACCCAAATCGACCAAAAAGCAAGGGGTTACATCACGTTTTTTGTCAAAATCTGGGTCGTTTCAAAAATCAAAACTTTTTTGGTGAATTTTGTTGAATATCTCGCGTAATTACTGTCAGATTTTGAAGTTTTATACCTTTTTGAATTTGTACGGATCCCTATTAACAATTGCCATTCAAACAAATCAAAAATCGATGGCTTAAGAAAAGTTTTTGAACAAAAACCGATTCGTTTGTAAAATCAACCTCTTTTGATCCTTTTTTTTGGAATATCTCGGCCAAATAATGTCCGATTTTGTTATTTTATACCATTTTCGACTCGTAACGATCAGTACTATCGATTGGCATCAAAAGAATTAAAATCTAAATTTTGACCCAAATCGACCAAAAAGCAAGGGGTTACATCACATTTTTTGTCAAAATCTGGGTCGGTTCAAAAATCAAAACTTTTTTGATGAATTTTGTTGAATATCTCGGGTAATTACTGTCAGATTTTGAAGTTTTATACCTTTTTGAATTTGTACGGATCCCTATTCTCAATTGGCATTCAAACAAATCAAAAATCGATGGCTTAAGAAAAGTTTTTGAACAAAAACCGATTCGTTTGTAAAATCAACCTCTTTTGATCCTTTTTTTGGAATATCTCGGCCAAATAATGTCCGATTTTGTTATTTTATACCATTTTCGACTCGTAACGATAAGTTCTATCAATTGGCATCAAAAGAATTTAAATCTAAATTTTGACCCAAATCGACCAAAAAGCAAGGGGTTACATCACGTTTTTTGTCAAAATCTGGGTTGGTTCAAAAATCAAAACTTTTTTGATGAATTTTGTTGAATATCTCGGGTAATTACTGTCAGATTTTGAAGTTTTATACCTTTTTGAATTTGTACGGATCCCTATTATCAATTGGCATTCAAACAAATCAAAAATCGATGGCTTAAGAAAAGTTTTTGAACAAAAACCGATTCGTTTGTAAAATCAACCTCTTTTGATCCTTTTTTGGAATATCTCGGCCAAATAATGTCCGATTTTGTTATTTTATACCATTTTCGACTCGTAACGATCAGTACTATCGATTGGCATCAAAAGAATTAAAATCTAAATTTTGACCCAAATCGACCAAAAAGCAAGGGGTTACATCACGTTTTTTGTCAAAATCTGGGTCGTTTCAAAAATCAAAACTTTTTTGATGAATTTTGTTGAATATCTCGCGTAATTACTGTCAGATTTTGAAGTTTTATACCTTTTTGAATTTGTACGGATCCCTATTATCAATTTGCATTCAAACAAATCCAAAATCGATGGCTTAAGAAAAGTTTTTGAACAAAAACCGATTCGTTTGTAAAATCAACTCTCTTTTGATCCTTTTTTTGGAATATCTCGGCCAAATAATGTCCGATTTTGTTATTTTATACCATTTTCGACTCGTAACGATCAGTACTATCGATTGGCATCAAAAGAATTAAAATCTAAATTTTGACCCAAATCGACCAAAAAGCAAGGGGTTACATCACGTTTCTTGTCAAAATCTGGGTCGGTTCAAAAATCAAAACTTTTTTGATGAATTTTGTTGAATATCTCGGGTAATTACTGTCAGATTTTGAAGTTTTATACCTTTTTGAATTTGTACGGATCCCTATTAACAATTGCCATTCAAACAAATCAAAAATCGATGGCTTAAAAAAAGTTTTTGAACAAAAACCGATTCGTTTGTAAAATCAACCTCTTTTGATCCTTTTTTTGGAATATCTCGGCCAAATAATGTCCGATTTTGTTATTTTATACCATTTTCGACTCGTAACGATCAGTACTATCGATTGGCATCAAAAGAATTAAAATCTAAATTTTGACCCAAATCGACCAAAAAGCAAGGGGTTACATCACGTTTTTTGTCAAAATCTGGGTCGGTTCAAAAATCAAAACTTTTTTGATGAATTTTGTTGAATATCTCGGGTAATTACTGTCAGATTTTGAAGTTTTATACCTTTTTGAATTTGTACGGATCCCTATTATCAATTTGCATTCAAACAAATCCAAAATCGATGGCTTAAGAAAAGTTTTTGAACAAAAACCGATTCGTTTGTAAAATCAACTCTCTTTTGATCCTTTTTTTGGAATATCTCGGCCAAATAATGTCCGATTTTGTTATTTTATACCATTTTCGACTCGTAACGATCAGTACTATCGATTGGCATCAAAAGAATTAAAATCTAAATTTTGACCCAAATCGACCAAAAAGCAAGGGGTTACATCACGTTTCTTGTCAAAATCTGGGTCGGTTCAAAAATCAAAACTTTTTTGATGAATTTTGTTGAATATCTCGGGTAATTACTGTCAGATTTTGAAGTTTTATACCTTTTTGAATTTGTACGGATCCCTATTAACAATTGCCATTCAAACAAATCAAAAATCGATGGCTTAAAAAAAGTTTTTGAACAAAAACCGATTCGTTTGTAAAATCAACCTCTTTTGATCCTTTTTTTGGAATATCTCGGCCAAATAATGTCCGATTTTGTTATTTTATACCATTTTCGACTCGTAACGATCAGTACTATCGATTGGCATCAAAAGAATTAAAATCTAAATTTTGACCCAAATCGACCAAAAAGCAAGGGGTTACATCACGTTTCTTGTCAAAATCTGGGTCGGTTCAAAAATCAAAACTTTTTTGATGAATTTTGTTGAATATCTCGGGTAATTACTGTCAGATTTTGAAGTTTTATACCTTTTTGAATTTGTACGGATCCCTATTATCAATTGGCATTCAAACAAATGAAAAATCGATGGCTTAAGAAAAGTTTTTGAACAAAAACCGATTCGTTTGTAAAATCAACCTCTTTGGATCCTTTTTTTAGAATATCTCGGAAAAATAATGTCCGATTTTGTTATTTTATACCATTTTCGACTCGTAACGATCAGTACTATCGATTGGCATCAAATGAATTAAAATCTAAATTTTGACCCAAATCGACCAAAAAGCAAGGGGTTACATCACATTTTTTGTCAAAATCTGGGTCGGTTCAAAAATCAAAACTTTTTTGATGAATTTTGTTGAATATCTCGGGTAATTACTGTCAGATTTTGAAGTTTTATACCTTTTTGAATTTGTACGGATCCCTATTCTCAATTGGCATTCAAACAAATCAAAAATCGATGGCTTAAGAAAAGTTTTTGAACAAAAACCGATTCGTTTGTAAAATCAACCTCTTTTGATCCTTTTTTTGGAATATCTCGGCCAAATAATGTCCGATTTTGTTATTTTATACCATTTTCGACTCTTAAAGATCAGTACTATCGATTGGCATCAAAAGAATTAAAATCTAAATTTTGACCCAAATCGACTAAAAAGCAAGCCATGATCAACGGCGGAGGTATGTCGCTTCAAAACGACATATAGCCTATTTTCTAAAAAGGACATTTTTTAAATAGCCATAGCTCGGCCAAATACTAAAGGATATCGAAAGGATATATCGTTTTAAACTCGTGGGGAGCAGGACTATCGATTGGCATTCAAGGTTTTTCAGAATTCGACAAAAAATTTCATCGAAATTTATCCTAGGGGGTTAGTCGCAAAATTGGCCAAAATCGAAAAATTCCGGGCTAACTTTGCCATTTGAAGGACTATCGGGATGTCCTTTGGCCAGTAGATAGTCCTCAGCATCCTATTGAACAATTTACAACCCAAAGGACGAAAGTCCTTCAGACAAAAAAGTTTTAAGGACGATTTTGCTTGAAAAAATTAGGCCATAACTTGACCATATCCTTGCGTATCCTGGCGAGTCATACGTCAAAATAATTGTGTTGGCCAGGACTATCAACTAGCCAAATTTCATTAAGATCGTCCTTGTAGTTTTGAAGATATTCAAGGATTTGTGTTTTCGGGCCATTTCCGTGCGCTGCGGGACGAAAATTTTACAAGTCCAATTTCGAGTCATGTGATTCTTAGATGACCCTATATTTTTATGATGCAGATCGATGCAGGGCGTCTATATGATCCTAACGCACCATGTCCTTTGAAAATCTGCAAGGATATGCCCGAGTTATGGCCAATTTTCCGATTTTATAGAATTATCTATATGTTTAATTTAAATGTGTTTTTATCATTTCAGACCGCCAGATTAAGGACTATAAGGACCTCTAAGGACCTCCACGAGTGACAAAGCAGATCTTTTAAGGATCGGACTTAATTAAGGCCAGATTTAGTTAATTTAAGTTTAAATAAGCTAAAATTATAAATTATGCTCGTTTTGTATAATTTTAAGAGAAATAATTAAGAAAATTAGCATAAAAAACAGCAATTTTATAAATTGAAACATAAATAAATTTAAAATAAAAGCGAAATTCCTGTTTTTTTATTTAAAAATTCAAAAATCAACTGTTTTTAGAAATCCATTGCATACCGCTGGCGCTGGAGTTATGTCGTTTTGGAACGTCATATCTCCATTAGCAACCGCTGGCGCTGGAGTTATGTCGTTTTGGAACGTCATATCTCCAGTGGCAACCGCTGGCGCTGGAGTTATGTCGTTTTGGAACGTCATATCTCCATCGGCAAAATTTAACTAAAATTTCCGAAAAACACCAGGCGAACAGAAATGTCCAGAAGGTCGACAAAAAATATTTTTAGCTGCCGAAAAAATTCGTTGCATACCCAAAGGGGCGCCCTAACGGCCGGCTGGGTCCCAAAATTTAACTAAAATTTCCGAAAAACACCAGGCGAACAGAAATGCCCAGAAGGTCGACGTACAATATTTTTGCGGCCGAAAAAATTCATTGCATACCGTCACGGTATCAAATTTGCCCTAAAATTCCACTAAAATACCAGGCGAACAGAAATGCCCAGAAGGTCGCCGAGTGGTTTGAATAAAAATTTTCATTGCATAGCATCAAGGGGCGAAAATGTAACTCAATTAAATGAGTGCTGTTAATTAGCAGAATATGTAAAATGAGTGCTGTAAGCCGCCTGTTAAATAACAGCTGCAGCTGCAGCTAATGTAAAAGGGCTCCTGAAAGAAAAAGCATACATGTTTTTGGACCATTTCAATGCACATTTTGCAAGGATCTGATCCTTTAGGTTCCCAAGGACTGTATCGATGGTATGGTATAACCAAGGATATCCTAGTCAACTAGCAACCATTCAGGGGGAGGGGCTTCTGCTGGGGGCGGCTGTAAAAGAAAAGTATACATATTTTTGGACCCTGTTCATAAGCATTTTGCAAGAACTTCGTCCTTTAGGTACGGTAAGACTGCATCCATGATATGGAATAACCAAGGATATATAGGTCAACTAGGTACCATGAACAGCAATCATTTGCTGACCAAATGTTGTCCATTGGCGTGGAAGATAAGGCTGAAAAATAAAAAGCTTAATTACATCGTTTTAATTACGTCCAACTTTGAAAAGACATACCTTGAAAGATTCCTGAGTCCTTAAAACCGGCGGAATTCTATAAAATGTAGATTTGAGAATCGAGGCAGATTCAACATTTAAATACGATTTTGTTTAAGGTATATCAAATTCATGGCATGAAATAACCAACGTCATTCAGATATTTAACGTTCTTGAATGTTTTCCTGTCCATGGCAGATTGAGCTGCAAATAAACCAAATATGAATTTATTTTGTAAGCTTTTAATATCGTTTAAATTAAGTCAGACTTCGGAAGTACATACCTTTTGAGGTTCGTGAACGTCTTCAAAATAGACAGAGCACTAAGAAAGTTAGATATCAGAACCGACTAGAATTAAGCAAGTATTTTGATGTAACCGTATTTCCCTATCTGGTCCAACCTCAGAAGGCGATTTATTTACATGCCAATTGATATTCCCGATGGCTATTACATTTTCAAAGAACCCTCTCTGGTCGACTGCTGGCCAAAGTCGGCGCACAGCAAACTGACTGCTGCCTTTTAATATTTAGATATTTATAACAGGCTTAATAGACCAGCGGCCGCAGCACAACAACATGCCATATTGCTCAATGAGGTCGCACCTGCTGCGCAGGTCCATAAAAACAGCGCTCAGCAAGATGAGCACTTGAGAACATCAATTGGACCAATCAGCGATCAGATGATCAGCGCCAAAAATAATCGTGAGCGTGAGCAGAAAAACAATGACAGCGAACACACACACGAACTGCTGACTGCTTATCTCAGGCTTTGGCTCATCTCTGCGCATACATGTGTTTGTGTGGGTGTGTGTGTGGGTATGCTAAGCAATGTGTCGCATCGTTCTCACACGAATTCTGATCGCTTGCTAATTTTCTGTGCGCCGGTCCAAAAAAGTCACTCAATATTTAACACTCTGTTAGTTTGACCTCAGTACTCAATATGAATATGGTTTAATTAGGAGGTGCTGACCCGGGCGATTCTGCAGGGATATTATGTATATTTTATTTAGCTAATAAGTGAGATGAAAATGACACTAAAATAAACACTTAAACATTCGTGTAAGTCCATCAAAACGAGGGATTTTTTAAATTTTGACCTTATGATGTTTTTATGGCTTCCAACTTCCTTATAATTTTATCAAACAGCTTTACTAGACTGCTGCTCTTAAACTAAAACAAAAGTATGTTGCGCCGACGCAAAGTGGACAAAAGTCGGCGCACAGCAATTGAAGTGAGCGCCGTTCAAAGGTAGAAATGCATAAGCTATTATACACAAGCATGATTCTGCATCAATTGCGAAAACACACACCCAAAACATATATATGTATGTATGTATGCATGTAGAGAGAATCGTCCAATGTGCGCATGTGTATATGATTGCTTGCGCCTTATCTTCTTACTTATCGCGCTCTCACGTATTTTTTGCGAAGTGAGAAGAAAACGAAATGACACTAAAATAAACACTGAAAGTCTATCAAAACGATGGACTTCTTCAAATTTTGATCTTACGAAGCTTCTATGGCAATTAATACTTAAATTATCACTTATAATCTTATCAAACAGCTTTTCTCGACTGCCGCCCTTTAACTAAAACACAAGCACGCTGCGCGAATGCAAAGTGTACAAAAGTCATACACAAGCACAAGTATAACTGTATGTATATCAATTGCGAAAACACTCACACAAACATACATACACATGTACGAGTGCAGTGAGAGTCGACAAATATGTGTGTGTACATGTATATGTATATTTGCATTCTCTTCTTATCTTCACATTCATCTCGCTGCCACGAATTTGTTGCGAGGCAAGAACAAAATTACAATGAAATAAGTTCTTTAAATTTGGATTACATTTTTGTCCAAACATTAGAAGATCTTATTTATGGCTACTAATACTTTCGACTGTTGCCGTTTAACTAAAACAAAATTATGTTGCGCAGACGCAAAGTCGCTGAATACACACACGTACATGCATGCATATGTACATATGTATGCGTGTATGTGTATATTTGCATTAATTCTTATCTTTAATTATTTGCGAAAGAACAATAGTTTTTCTTGGTAAACTCTGACATTATATCAATTTCGGATAGACACTTTAACATTCGTAATAGTCTATAAAATTGATGGACTTCTTTAAATTTTGATTTCATTTTTGTGAAACTTTGCAAGAAACACTTACCCAAATATATGTATGCAGAAATCGCCAAATATGCACGTACGTATGTATATGCATATGTGTGCTAATCCCTTATCTAATTATGTATGTATGTATCACATTCACAAAACAGCCTAATAGACCTGCGGCCGCAGCACAACAACATGCCCTATTGCCTAATGGGGCCACACTGACGCAGAGCAAAGTTACGCAGGTCCACAAAAACTGCGCTCAGCAAGATGAGCACTTGAGAACATCAATTGGACCAATCAGCGATCAGATCATCAGCGCCTAAGAGGATCCAGAGCGCGTGAGCGTGAGCAGAAAAACATTGACAGCGAACACACACACGAACTGCTGACTGCTTATCTCAGGCTTTGGCTCATCTCTGCGCATACATGTGTTTGTGTGGGTGTGTGTGGGTATGCTAAGCAATGTGTCGCATCGTTCTCACACGAATTCTGGTCGCTTGCTAATTTTCTGTGCGCCGGTCCAAAAAAGTCACTCATAATTTAACACTCTGTTAGTTTGACCTCAGTACTCAATATGAATATGGTTTAATTAGGAGCTGCTGACCCGGGCGAGTCTGAAAGGACATAAAGTATATTTTAGATGATTTCTTAAGAATTGGATTGAAAAAAAATTGAGAATTTTACTCCCAACTATCAGACGCTATCAGACTGCTATCAATTGGCAATTTAGAAACGAGGTAGGTTAGAAAGTCAACGGTGGAAATAGTTTGTGAGAAATTCTGTCGTTATTCCATTTGAATAAAGTTATAAGAACTTGTTGTCCATAAGTCAATTCAATCTTACAACACAATCAAGTTATTAATTAAACAAATATTGCTTACAAGTTACAGTATTACCAACTATTCAACTATGATTTATGAAATGTTTTCAACTGCTGCATGAATCCGGCGTTTGGCTGTATGCATGGCCGCCACGACTTAACCAGATTGTAGGCCTCCTCGAAGGACATGTCACGTCGCTGCATTAGATAACCGATGACAACTGCAGCGGAGCGCGATACGCCCGCATTGCAGTGGACCAGCACACATCCCTTTACGGCATGCGCCTCCTCTATGAAGTTTATGGCAACGGGCAGCACATATTGCAGTATATTCGTTTCGTTCAGATCCAGGCATGGCAAATGCTTGCACTTAACCGTTGGCGGTAGGTCAACGTTGGGCGTTTCAATGCCAACGCTTAATATGTGCGTTAATTTATACTTTAAGACGTTTTCCGGAGTAACGGCGTCCTGGGAGCCTAAATAAAGGAATTCGCTCAAAATGCATGCTGGCACGGCGTCGGGTTTGGTATCCACAACGAATCCGTATTGGCGTGCTTCCAGCTGTTCTGGACTGCTGTCCTCTCCGGTTGAGGATCTCCGCCGTTCAATGTAACGTGCGCCGGTGGGTGTGGTCACAATCGTAGTGGTGGGCCTTAGATTGGCCAGACGCTTCTGCAGCTCATACAGCAATATCATGGTTTCTCCTGGTTTAAGGACTAGTCTCGTCTGGAAGCTCGAAAGCCGTATCGTTGTAGTGCACACGACACAGGTAGAGACCGGACGCGGGCGCAACCAGTATACGAGGCTCCCAGGTGTGCTTGGAAGGAATCGTTAGCATTTCATAAATGCAGCGTTCGTCTATACGGCCATTTGCCAGCGCCAGAAGCGTGCCCACAATGCGTCGAACCTGCTTGTACAGAAACGACTTGGCCTTGATCTCTATGTCCCAATAGTCGTAGATTTGTGATGCCAACGTTGCGTTTGGGCCCAGTGCAAGGCTTTGTCCAGCACGTATATTAATCTCATCGATTTTGCGCACCGTGAACATGGGATGGTCGCGACTGGGACTCTTCTGTCGACTGACGCTCATAAAGGTGCGAAAGTCGTGAACGCCAAGGAACATGCGCGCCGCATTCTTCAGTCGTTCTATATCAAAGTTATTATTCCTGCAAAAGCCGAAATATGAGTAATGGCAAAGAATTGCCTAATTAAAAGAGTTTCTTACTGCAGAAAGTAACACCTGTCTATCTCCTCAACGGGCACAAACGATTCGTAGCCTTTGTTCCTTAAACTATTGATGGTATTCGACTGTGTCACATTCTTGGCCACTGCCACGCGATATAAATAGGTGCGTCCGATGGCGTGATAACGGCAATGAAACGTGTCTGGCACGCGCTGCGTACTTAGCACGCGTATTGGCAGGTTCTGCTTGTCCAGGGTTCGATTGAGTACACCTGTCAACGTGGTCGTATCGTAGAATTTATTATCTCTGCGTTCCAAATCGACGTGAACTGTCGAGTGCAGGGCGTGCACGCCGGCATCTGTGCTGGTAAATTGAACACAATTATGGTTGCTGTTGATTAAACCTGTATATATATTTTAAGTACCTACCGACTGGACAGCACGGTTTGGATTTCGTTTTTAGGATGAAAAACGCGCAATGCCAACTCCAAACAGCCCTGAATTGAATTCGTATCTAGACGCGCTTCCTCCAACTTGTTTACGGTCTTCTGTATGCCACTAAAAGTACATTTTAATTGCATAAATTGTGTTTTTTTTCTAATTTTGATTCGCTTACCGAAAATTCGTGCCAATGTAGGCAATGTTGAGCAAATACCTACGCATTATGCACCTACACCCCACACGGCGCACCAATCAAAAAGGCGGAAAACATATGTTTTGTTATCGATTAATCGTTTTGTGCACACCACCAGCACAGACCATATGTAGTGTGCGTAGCGATAGTTCGATAGGCAGCAGTTACTCAGAATGTTGTCAAAAAAAAAAAAAAAAAAAGCAAATCGACTAGTCGATTGCTCACTAAACATTCATCATCGTATTTGAACATATTGTAAATATCGATACATGTCTTGTCAAAGTTTTGTAACCTGAATTAAAGCGAAAAAAGGGGCAGACGTGCAAACAATTAGGGCGACCGGTTAATATTTTTACACTCGCACAGCACAATTGTTAAATTTTTCCATCAGGATCAGGTGAACGGGTTGCATAACGAAACATGGCCAATTTCACTGATTACACCAGAAATGAGGAGACCGAGGTCAATAGCTGGATTCGTTTCGGCTTGCGCCTTGGCGTTAGCGCAGCACTGCATCCATTTGAATACTCAAAGGCGCTAATACAAATTGGATACGAGCCGATTGCCGCGAGACCCGGCAAGTCAATGCTGGGCAGACCAATTATGGTCCTACCAAACATCTTCCAGTACGGTAAGTACACCGCATAACACACACATTTGCGGCATTAAAATCGCACTTCGATCTCTGTCACACAGCTGGTCATATCAAAAGAGTCGATGGCTTCTATGGTTGTTATCGTGGCCTGGCACCCAAATTAGCTGGCGCCGTTCTGAGCATGGTTGTGAGTGAGCGCGTTGCCGAAAAGCTGGACCTTGCCCATAAGGAGGACAAGGACGAGTCGGAGCTGACCGAGGAGGAGAAGTGAGTTGTCCACCATTTGGCATTCAAATTTCTGAACTAATCCATTTTTTTGTGCCCGCCAGCTATGTGCAGTTCAAGTACAATCTGAAGCGCGACATTGTGTTGACGGTTAGCGGAATTGTTGTCTCGCATCCGTTCCATGTGATTTCGTTGCGGATGATGGCACAGTTTGTGGGTCGCGAGACGTTCTATAACTCCATTTTGGGCTCCATTGCCGAGATTTGGAAAACCGAAGGCATACGAGGTTTCTTTTCCGGCCTGATCCCCAAGCTGCTGTGCGACGTGGCCTGCCTTGTGCTATCGAGCTCCACTGTTTTCATACTCAACAAATACTTCATCAAGGACAAAGTGGCCAGGCAATATAATGCCGGATTTACCCAGTTTATGTTCTCCAGTCTGCTATATCCACTGCAAGTGGTTTCCACATGCTCCGCAATCAGCGGTTCGCGTCTGATGGCCGGCCAGCCGCCAATAATGCCAGAATACAGCAATTGGGTAGACTGTTGGAACGACTTGCAGTCGCGCAGAGAACTTAAGCGCGGCAGTTCCCTCTTCTGGCGGTAACTAAACTTATCTATCCTATTCATTATGAGATCGTAGCTTACGTATCTCTCGATTCTTTTAGCTCGCAAGTGCTGCAGGCGCCAATAATTGCAACCTCTGCCTTCGCCCCACTGCCCAAGCTGTCCCGCTACCAATAGATGACCTGTTTATGAAGACGCGATTCGGCAATGACCACAACGGGAATAGCCGGAACGACATCCACCGAGAGAGACGCGTCTGCCTGCATTTTTATATAGCTCGTCGAGGGCCGCCCTAAGACAACTGCATTTCTTTTCCCCGTTGCGATTCTTATGCATAATAGTAAATCTCTATGTTAAAGTGGTCGCTTAAATTATGATTATCGAGTAACAAACAATTATTGCGAACGCATTGTATAATTTTATAACTTAATTTCCTTGTTGGCATCGAATGCCATTCCAAAGAATCACATGTACGATGAGACTTTCAATTTATTTTAAATAGCCAGCCACTAGTTTCTTGTTACTATTTTAACCGAGAACTATTTTTAAAATTAAAAACGTTTTGCGCAAAAGAACCGCTGTTTTAGGCCAGTTTATGTTTACGAAAATCCTGAAGATACTTTGATAGTCGGGATCTGTATGAATCCATAAAGCTACATCATTCCCAAATACCACTTAATTTGCCCGATATATTCATTTGAAGTTCGAAAACTAAAACTGTATGGAAAATAGCTGCTGCCCTACCGCCGGCGAGTCCTCTGCAAACAAATCACTCACTCGCATGAGACGGCTGTTGCGACGGAATCATCAAAGCCACAAAAAAACTGCTGATATGCCAGGCGAACATAAATGAGCAGCAGATAGCCTCAAGTGCTACTCAGCACTAATCGGTTGTCTAGCGCTGCCTAGCGCCAATCTAAGTGAAGCACAAAGCAAATTCCAAGTGCTGCCCAGCCCCACTGACGTTTCCTAGTGCTACGCGGCGCCAATAATCAGTGGGCAGCACTCGCAACAATTAATTTGCGCGCACGAAAGTATGCCACAGTTTTTATTTATTTTAAATGCAACTACCTGCTGCTTATTTATGTTCGCCTGGTATTTCAGCAGTTTTTGTGACTCGAAACGACATGTGTTGTTTTTGATGATTCGGCACAACAGACGCCCTGACGACACAAAAGATGACATAAATTTCTTTAAAATGTTCTACTTTGCATTGCATTTTGACAAAATTGGCACTGTAAATCCGATTGGCGCTGGGCAGCACTTGGTGCAATTCAAATTTTTGAAAATGCCGCCTTCGACTGCTGCTTTCTGTTCGCCTGGTTCATTAGCAGTGTCTGGCGTCCGATGTGCCAGATGTCTGGCATAACAGCCGCCGCAACTGTATTGCGAACAGCCAATCGGAAAGACTAATTGGATTTCTTTTGTAAAGTTCTTAAGACAAACAAGCTCTAAACATAAACATATTTCTAAATATAATTGGAAAAAACTATTTTGCCAGGCGAACATAAATATGCTCAATTTGAATATGCGAACAGGGTACAATTAGCGTATGCACAGCCTATGCGAGACTCCTTGGCGAAGTGAATTTGAATTTGAGATTGAATTAATTAAAAATAAATCGCTTTCCGCGATGTTTTTTCTTTCAATAAAACCAGTATTCGTACTTAACCGGCATCTGATGAGATGGCGTTGAGCCTCATTATGCAATTTCAATTAAAATATGGGCACAGAGCCTGCCTTGATAACGATATTTTTGCTACATGGTTCAATGTACGAGGAGGGAGTGGATGGTGGGAGGGGGGGGGGGAGGTGGGAAGTGGGAGGGAGGCGTGGGGTCTGGTTTACTTTGCCTTTGGGCAGTGGCCAAACAGGAGCATGGTTGTTGTTGTTGTTGTTGTTGTTGTCGTTGTTGTTGTTGTTGTTGTTGCTGTTGTTGTTGTCGCCTGACATTGGCATTGGCCGTGGACGGCGTAAGTTATGCAGTGGGAACTGGTTGGGAATTGGAAACTTTTGCAGCTGGCCCGCATTGTTGAATGCACTTGACGCTGTTTAGTCATGGCAAATTTCATGTAGCTCTCAACAAATGTGTCCAAATTGAGATTAAGCGACAATTTCAATCAAAACAAGGCGGCGGACAGCAACATAAACCACAACAACAACAAACAGAAACAACAGCAACAACAACAACAACAAGCTGCCCACAGCCAGCCAAACAACAATGCAAGTCAGACAACAACGGCAAACAAAACATGTCAAAAAATGGCAACCGACTGCACAATACCCTGTTCAGAGTGTGTTAGGAGAGTCGAGAACAGGGAAAATTATCACAGAGCACATGAGAAACATTGTATATGTGCTAGGATATGTTAAATATATAAAGACCTAAACAAGTCCTTTGCCAGAATTGATATAAGTGCATGTGAGTTATATAAATAGGTTGCATAATCCCAAAAATAACTCTTAGAGAATGAAAGGAACACACGACACACTTAAAAAGATTATTCGTGCTGTATCTTCCACATATTATTATTAATATTAAACTAAATAAACATTATTAAGCTTTAATTTAATAAATATATATTGTTTGAGTTCTTCAGAGTTGAAACAATCCTGTTAAGTTTTATTATATCTTACTTTATTTTCTAAGAAATTTGTTTATTTTTCCAAGATTCTGTTGAAGATCGAGATATTTATATTAACAAAGATGCAAGTACTTGATCCCTATTGATGGAAGATATTTGCTAATCAAAAATCTGTCCAGATCGTAAACAATATAATATATAGACAGTACATATAGCTAAATAAATTTACTTAATGTCAGAGTGATAATAAATTAAATGTAAAAAAAGCAGCCAAAGAGAGTGAATTTAAAGATGTATCTTCTTAAATCAAATCTGCAGCTCCAAATTGTTGCTAGGCAAGCCTGGTCGTAACCAATATGCACCTGTTCACCTGCCGAACAGGGCATTAAAACAACAAGTGGCAGCAGAAGCTACTCATTCAGACAGCCCAAGTATGCCAACTTCATTCAGTCTGCAACGTGAGCTTCAGCCGAACAGACGTGAACGCGGGCACAGCTGCAACAGCGACTTTAACAACGACTTTAACAACAACTTTAACAACAACTGAGACTCCAACGCGAGCTGGGCGCGTCCCACGGGCAGAGGCAGTCTATCAAAACCGAGCCGAGCTAATAAAAAGTGCTAATTGTGTGTGTTCAAATGTGAATAAATGTGCAAGCGACTAGAAAAACAGCAACAAATACAACAACAGCAACAAATACAACAACTTTAACAACAACTTTAACAACAACAATAGTTTATTTATTTTTTGCTTTTGTTGGGGCAGCGAAATCGCATTTGCATTTCTCTCGCCCATCTATATTTATAAATCTTTTACTTTTTCTATACAAAAAACCAATCGCAGATTAAATTGGTTCGATAAAACGTATTTTTCTCTTCTTTTGTTGACCCTTTATTGTTCTTGTTCTTGTTGTTGTTGTTGTTGTTGTTGTTGTTGTTGTTGTTGCCTTGCATATGGCCCAAAAAATTTAAATAATCAACAAACATCTGAATGCAAATATTAGAAATCTGTCCGTTAAATCGTTCAACTGAAGCGCGCCGAACAAACGTTATAAAGAAAGAGACAGGAACAGAGCAAGAGACAGAGACAGAGACAGAGATAGAGAATTAGGCATAGATATAGACGCAGACATCGCGACCTCAAAGCCAACAACTTAATTCTGAATGGCACGAGTTCGAACTTTGGGTGAGTTTTTGAGACAAATGGCCTTTTTATTTTTTAAAAATTTTTTTTTCATATTATTTTATCTGCTTGGACTTGAGTTTGTCTCAATCCATTTGCTTATTTATACGATTCGCAGATTTAGAAATTGGTTAAGAAAACAGCTTCATCTTAAATATGGGCGCACTTTGTCTTAAAAGATTTTTTGATGCTCAAAGACAATAATAAGTTCTGATAAGAAAAATGAAATATTCTCGCTAAATAGCAAGAGTACCTTTGTCAGGCATATCCGACTAGAAGATACCCTGTACACAGCGTGAAGCCACATTTAGAAAAGTTCTTTCTCTCTTCTTTACATATACACCACATACATACACATATACACATGCACACATATACACACATACAGATATATACATATACACACATACACATATACCTAAGCCTTCTTGTTTCTTCTTCCATTTGCCCCATAATATAGGAAATAGATTCTTGCTTAACTCTGAGGTTTATAGTACGATTTTCATGAAATTTTCAGGGCTTAAATATGGCATGCAAATATGTGCATATACCAAAGACCAGATCTCTATGAGAAACATTTCTCACAACAAAAAAACATTTAAATAAAAACAAGCAGCATGCTTCTGCCTGAAAGATGAAACTAGCCAAGGTTTGAACCAGCAACTGGCTACACAGAAGCTGGCAAAGCTGGCTTTGTCGACACCTGAATCAAATGACTCGGATATATATGTTCATATGTGATCTGTAATTTGTGACTGTCACTACAGTCAATGCTAATTGCTGTTGATCATAATACTATAGATAGCGCGAGTCCAGTTTAGATATGAGAAATTTGCCCAAACAACTTAATAGCTGTGGTCCGCACGATTCGCACCGGGCCTGGCCAAGCCAAGCTATTAAATAATTAATGGCCAGCGATGCAAAAAAACAGCAAAAGAGAGTGAGAGAGAAAAGAAGTAACAAAAATAAAAACAAAAGAAATGCTGCATGCTTGTTGCATTATTTACGGCCTGCTTAGCTACTTTGCCGTATCTCGTAGCTCTCATGAGTGTGCGGCCAACGGAGTTATAAAACCAGAACCCCAAAACCAAATGCTTTCTTCTTCTACATTCTGCTTCTATTTAGAAGTGGAGCTCTCTGTGCAGCTTCTCTGATTGATAGAAAGTTGAGCTGGCCTTTTGTCTGTCTGGCAATTACATAAACCCATAATGGACCCTCGCGTTGGCTGACATGTCAAAATATCGTTAATGGACAGCTAAACAAGCTACTAAATATAGAAAATATTAACAAGCGTTCATTTCTTTCGTTTACATAAATACTAATGAGTGTTTTGGTGTAAGCGGAATACCCCTAATGTCGCTTAAACGGCAAGGATTAGCTGACATGTCACATAGACATATCGAATTATCAAGAGAAGTGGCTTTATTAGGTATATAATTACCGTTATAAGCCAGCGAGACGACAGTCAAACGTTAGGGGAATACCCCTAGTGTAGATTGAGTGGAGCCTCTAGAAGAGCTCCGTTCCATAAATCAAGAAGACTAGATGTTATTAGATGATGTAATATAATTGAAAGGGAAAAGTCAAGAAGATTCGTTGTAAATATAATGGAAGAGATAATGGAAAAGGTGCCCACACTGTAAGGGGAATGCCCTTAGTATAACCCAAGAAGATAAGATGTAAATATAATGGAGAGGAAAAGAAGATTTCCACATTATAGGAGGAATACCCTCAACGTGACTTATATATAGAACAAGCTTCCACGTTTCTTATTAGAAATCTATTTCATATTTTTTTATGAATTGCACAAGAAATTTGTGAATTTGTTCAAGTTTTTGCTTCTTCATGAACTTCTTTGCTTATCGAGAACTATTTTCTGATTTCTTGAATATATTGAATTGATCAAAATATTCTTGAAAACATGAATTCTACATTTTTATTCTAAAAACTTAAATTTTAAAGCTAAAATTGAGAATTATGTGAAAATTGTATAAGAAACGAAATTTTTTTTGTCAAAGTTGTTTGAACAATATTTATTTGTTTATTCATTTATTTAATGGATTTCTATTGCTTATGCTAAGGAATATTAATAGTTGGCGGCATACCCTTAACGCTTGGGCTAATCCCTGCCCACCTTGTGCGTGGCTAGGGGCTTGTCCACACGGACCACGCGCTCGGCCACATTGAGATAGGCCTCGTACTCGACGGTGTCGGGCGTGGTATCGTAGTGATAGTGTCCGCCCCAGTTGCTGAAGGAGAAGGAGTGAAAGTGCTGCAGCCGCAAATCGAGATCGTGCTCCTTGGTAACCAGAGTGCCAAGGGCGTTCAGCTGGGCGGGCATGTTGTAGAACTTGAGCCATTCGTTGACCTCGGCGTCAGTGTGGATGGGCGTCTTGCTGAAGTCACGCATCACGTGCTGATGGGCGGCGCCCTTTTTGATCACGAATATGCCGCCCAGGCCCACCACCCGATCCCCGTAGTGCTCCTCCAGGCCCTTGCGTATGCACTCAATAAAGTTCAGCTCGCCCTTGCGCTGCTTGGCGCTGATCTTGAGCACGGGTCCCGCCTCGCCGCGGCTCAGATACAGATTCAAGAGCAGGGCACAGCGCGCCTCCGTGCTGGGTATCCGCTCCAGGACGCACTCCTCCTGCTCGCCGCGCACCGTTGCCGTGTAGCTGCCGTTGGTCAGCTCGTCCGATGCGCTCACCGACAGATTGTAGATGCCCTCGCAGTTGGAGCTGCGTATAGGATAGGGTCCGGCGCCGGCGCCTACTGCGAAAATCTTGCCGGCACCCTGTATTCTGCGCGCGATCTCCTTGATGTTATACAGCTTGTCGCGCTGCACCAGCGGCAGCAGATACGGCGGTCCGCCCACCTCCAGCAGCGTCGCCCTGCCGCCCAGTCCCGACTCCACCAGGCCGTATTGCGGCGCCTTCAGATCTGGGCAGTCGCCCACCTGCACGCTGGCTGTTGCAAAGTTTTTACGCAGGGCACCCTGTATAACTGGGAGAGCGAGAGAGGGAGAGAGCGAATGTATACAATGCAAAAGCTTTATCTCGCCCTCAATCAAGACAACGCCAAAAGCTGCGCAAAAGCTCTCCAGCTGACAGTCACATTTCTTGATGTGCTTAGAATGAACAAAACAAAAAACTGTTTTCTTCGCCGAGCCGAAGATTGAATGCCCTTTGGCAAGATATGCATGATACGCAATTTGCGACATATTATACCGATGGAAGCTATGCGATGTAGAAGTATATGAGATATATAGAAATACAGCCGATCTATCAATTTTTGATATAGTTTATGAAACTCTTCTCTAATAATGGGTAGCTACTGTTCTGCTAGAAACTATATGATATGGAAGTATATGCCAGATATACAGCCGATCTATCAACTAGGAATATTTTCATATAGTTGATGAAGTTTTTTTTCCTAATAATGGAAAGCTATTAACTGCTAAGTATTTTGTATTTTTTTTATAAAAAATCTATTCTCTACCCATTGTTCATATGTGAGCTATATGATATAAATATTGCGATGCTTTACAGATTCATAGGGTATATATAAAGAGTATATAAAACTAAGAGGTTTTTTAGAAAGACTGATTACGTATGAAAGTTCCTATAAAGAAGCTATATATTATATGAATATAAAATGTTCTTTGAATATAAAAGATTAGCTCAATTGGTGGGTTTGATCAAAATATTCAACAAAACTATATTTCCTTTTTTGTCTCTCCGATTCGACAAAGAGAAAGCAGCTCATCTATGCCTATCTTCATCAAGACAGCTTTTTATACAACGAGTCTAGCTTCTCGACTTTGCTACTGATCAAGAATATATGTTATATGCTTTATAGACAGTCTGCTTCTATGCGTTACATATCTAATGGAAATTTCCATATGCCCTACATTAAAGCACAAGAGCACGCCAAGAGAACGGCCTCAAAATAAAAAAATAAAAAACCGGCTATGGAAAGTTCGGCACAGTTTGTGAAGGTCATTTGCTCTGTTGCTGCAACTGTTACTGCTGCTGCTGCTGATTGTACTGCTACTGCTACCTTTTACTGCTGCAGTAGCTCCGCTTACCCTGCTGCAGTTCCTCCAGCGTTGGCACATGCAGCGGCTTCTCCTCGAAGACCAACTGCGCTGTATTTAGCTGGCTCTGGCTCTGGCTCATGTTTCCTTCGTCTTCCAATTACAAACTGAATACGACTCGATCGAGGTCTGTTCCGAACGCGACTGTGAAGCGGATCCGTCGCACAGTCCGCATTTGGGCTGGCTTGTCCTATAGTTAACATTGCCCGCTCGCATACAGGGTGACCCCCGGCTGGGCGATAAGATATATTTGCGGTTTTGATGATATTCCAGTTTTTCCGCAAAAAAAAAAAAACATGTTTAATTAGCACCTAAATTCCTTTTCACTAAAGGCAACGCCTTGAGTACATGTCTTGTCTCATAGATTTATGGTATCTATGGGTGAAGTACAGTGGTAACTCGATTTGTTAAAACTACACGCGGAGGAAATTGTAAGAATTTCGCTTTCAGTATGTACTTGAAGTTTTTTAAGCTGAATACGAATTCCGAAACACCAAAAAAACTTGTACTTTTTATAAAATATTGTTTTAAGAATAAAATGTACTTAAGACTTAAAAATCGTAATATTCTATGCTTTTATGAAATCCCTCAGTTGTCTTTCAGTCCCAGTCTCGAACTTAAAAGAAGTTTTCTGCTTCTCTATTTGAGTTCTCGGGAGTTTCGAACTATAAAGAAGATTTCTGCTTCTCTAATTGACTTCTCGGGAGTTTCGAACTCTTCTGCACTTTCTGAGTTCTCGAGAGTTTCGAACTGAAAAGAAGATTTCTTCTTCACTTTCTGAGTTCTCGAGAGTTTTACTTGCTTCAACATACTTTTGTCTTATCTTAAGAATTTTTGTTTACTTGCTTAAACATTTTCTTACTTTCAGCTGTTTTTCTTGTTAGAAATCGAGCGCTTACTTCTTTCGAGCTCATTTGAACTCAATTTTAGTCCAACATGCATATTTAATTATTGTTTTTTTTTTTTTATTGTACCTACGCAAGTTGTTTGAATTTTGAGCTTTCAACATACCCTACCAAAAATTTTCCATGCGCCTGATAACTTTCCCCTTCTTTACACTTTGTCACTTGGAAAAAAACAGAAACCGGTTGCTCCCGTCTCCCCATCTTCCCTCTCCCATCTGTTGGCCTCTGCATTCTAATTTGCATATTCGACAGACTTTGTGTGTAGATCTATAAAATAAGATCTAAAGATTATGTGCGACTAATGTATATTTGCCATTATGCGGCATTTCGTATAGAAATTGCTCGATTTCTTAATGGAATACAGTTAGCAAAGAATGCTCCGTGATAAATCTTTCATTAATGAGTATTTACTGTACTAGACCATTCAGCAGGCGCCGCTCTGTATTTAGGTTCAGTTAACTTGACTAAATTTAAAGCTTTGGAACTGCTTCAGTTCCAGTTTTTGTTCGTTGATGGGGAAAAAATTAAAGATTCTGGAAACTCGAAAATTACGTTTTTCTTTGAACAACTTTCCTGCTTTTCTACTTTATCTCGAGCAAGCTCTGCAATTTGAGCCCTACTTTTAACCTGCCATATCTACATTGGTAGGGTATTCAAACTTCGTCTAGCCGTCGCTCGTGTTTACACTGACAACAGTGGCTTGTCCGTTTTGCAGAGCTTTCACTGTACACAGCATATATTAGTGGCAACGGCAACGCACTGATAAGCCCTCTGTGCACACACTTTCGAGGCTTACCTCCCATCTGAGATAGTGCAGCCGCAGATAGGGACCTGGAGAGTCATTTAGCGGTCACGTTTGCCACCATTCGATGATAAGGTTCCCATTGAGAACCTCTGTGTAGAGCGGACAAATTTGTGCGTAGTGTCAATTTGATGAATTGTTGACCTGAGCTGCGGATTGAACTGTTTCTGGCAGATATCAGCTGCCTACTTAATAATTCTGTGCCCCCATTAGCTGGGAAGTCTGTGCGTTGACAGTCAATACACTCGGAAAAAAACATAGTTCGAACTCAAATTCCAAAAACTTGGATTAAGTCAGAAATACTTATTACAAGAGCTTAATATAATATTATATGGAAGAATGATAAAATTAAATAAATTTGATCTTAAAATAGGAAATTCTAACACAAATGCTGCCTTTTTTGCATTTGACTTGAGTAAAATAAGCCTAGAGTACACCCTGAACTAGCATTCATAAAGAAAAAAGCGTCAATTCAAATTAAAAATAATTTCCCTCAGCCGGCATCGAATCTGCGACTATCTTCAATCAATCGAACTGCTTGCCATCGCCTCAAAGCTTACCGCTACAAACACACAAATAGACCCGTGCGAAGAACAACTGATCCACGCACACACACACAGACAGTAGGAGAGCGAGAGAGAGAGAGAGAGAGAGAGAGAGAGCATAGCATACAAAGCAATCGCAATTGCAAATATATTTATATTAGTGAATTAAATATGAATGAATGTGTGCAAATTTAATTTTATCGATGATCCCATCCTCGGAAATTTAATCGTTTTGATAAGTGTGCTTTCTATATTGTTATAAATGTATATATTTTTCTATATATAAGAAAGTGCGCCAGTCTTTTTCTTAGTATCCATCATGAAGGCTTTCATTGTTTTGGTTGCTCTGGCTTTTGCCGCCCTCACTCTTGGTCGCACCATGGACCGTTGCTCCCTGGCCCGCGAGATGTCCGACCTGGGCGTTCCTCGTAACCAGCTGAACAAGTGGACCTGCATTGCCGAGCACGAGAGCAACTACCGCACCGACGTGGTTGGTCCAATGAACGGGAATGGTTCCCACGACTACGGCATTTTCCAGATCAACGACTTGTACTGGTGCGAGCCCTCCCACGGTCCCTCCTACGGTCGCTCCAGCAACATTTGCGAAATCGACTGCGACGACCTCTTGGGTAACAGCATTGTCAACGACGTCCGCTGCGCCCAGAAGGTTTACAAAGAGCAGGGCTGGTGCGCCTGGACCACCTGGCACCAATGTAGCGGTGCTCTGCCCTCCATCGACGACTGCTTCTAAACTGGATATTGACTTTTTATAAATAAAAAAGGTCAAATTATGAGACGCTAACAAGGGAATTCCAGTCAAGGGAATACCCTTAATGGGTATAGTCACATACTCGCCTTAATAAATGCAAGTTATTTTCCTCTGGATATAGTTCCTATTGATTTATTGGCGATAGCCATAAAATGAAAGAAACTTCATCTGTATTTAGTATTCTAGAAGCTACATGTCAAATTTGTTGACTCTAGCTCCTAAAACCCAAGAAATTGGCACAAAAACCAGCTTTTCGATATCGATAGGCAAGCTATCGATTATCGGAAGCAACTTGAGCTTTGTTGGAACTTCGAAATCAAAATAATAAGTTCTTTTGTTAAGAATTTGTAACTCAATAATCTTGAACTTGTCTATATTAATGTTGGAAATATAGAAAATTGGGAATAAACAAGTATTTTATAAAGATATCTAGATTTTTGTCTGTTCCGTCTCACAAAAACACTTTTGCACTTAATTCAAGTGAAAAATGTTGATGCAATTTTCTCAGCGTGTACGCTGCACGCATCTAATCATGCTGTCCATGTCCATGCTTATGTCCAAGCAGATTACAGACCAAACTGGTCCGCGTCCACGCAAGTCCATCAGTATCGCAAACAGATAGTTGATCATAATTAGCAAGCGGCAGCTCCTCAATCCTATTGAGAACAGATCGCCAAGGAGCTGCCATTATGGCCATCTATGTGCTGCTGGCTTCTTGTTCTTGGTCCGAAGTTGACCTCAATTGGCGTCTTTGGATGAGATGTCGAGAACTTGCCGCTGACCCAATTCCAACGCCCATTCGCAGATGTTGGTCGACTCACTTCACTTTTGCGCATTTAGCTGGCAACTGGTTAGGAACTAGGTCACACACACACACACACACACACACACACACACACACACACACACACACACACACACACACACACACAAATCTTTGTAGACAAATGTTTGCCTGGTTATTAACATTTCATGTCCCCGTCACATTAGGCAATGTTTGACTGGCGCCAATTGTGATGGGCAATCGGATCGCAGCGGGAGCTGGCGGCAGCAGCGCGGAGGCCAACTCTCAGTTTAATACGCGGCGGCGTTATCAGCAGCACAAGCGCGAGTATTGTCTGCAGGATGAGTATCGCTCCAAGACCCTGCCGGCGCGTTATCCACAACAGAAGCCAGACGATAGCCGGCAGCCGTTGGGCTCCAGCAGCTGTCTGGGCTCTGGCCAGGCCAATGGAACGTCCAACGGCGGCGAGACATCACGCATGCTCTTTTTGCTCTATCTAATCCATCGCACCTGGAACGTGGTCATGGACACCATGGACACACGCACCAAGAGGTAGTCACTTCCATCTCCTCCATTTGGCTTGTTTAATCCATTTTCCTTTATTTCCATGCAGTCGCCCGGCGCCACAGAAAGTCACGCCCGTGCCGGCGCCGCGTAGACAAACGCAGCCGGATGAGGAGTGCTCCATTGGCATCACAGACATGGACGCCTCCTCCTATTGTTCCCAGTACTCCTGCTGCAGCTGCAGCTATTGCTATGAGGATGCGTTGGAAAAGCGCACCAATGCCTGCAGCTCCAATGCGGATGATTATTCGCTGGACTCCATTTACGAACCCGGCAAATCAATGTGCTACAGGTGAGCCAAAAGCAAATACACAATTCAAAATTGACGGCAGCTATGCTGTCGGAGCAAGCAGCTTTTGTCAGCCAAGCAGTACAAATAAGTGTTGCATAGCTTCTGGCAGGCATAGCGCACTGCTTTCCAACGCACACTGCTTGCCAAATGACACTGCTTGGCCGGTTGGTTTAAAACAAAATCCGGTAGGAGAAAAGGAAACTTTTTTGAAAAACTCATTTATTAGCGTATATTGTTGTCCAGGTAAATATCTTAGAAGCAGTCATCAATGGAGGGCAGATAGCCGTTACAGTAGTGCCAGGTGGACCAGGCGGACCAGCCCTGCTGGCTGAGCACCTTCTGGGCGCAACGGACGTCGTTGGTGATGTCATCGGTCAACAGGTCGTTGCAGCTCAAGGCGCACTCGTTGTAGGAGAAGCGACCGTTGGGAGGCTGGCACCAGTACAAATCATTGATCTGGAAGATGCCATAATCGTTGGAGCCGTCCGAGTTCTCAGGACCCACGACGCCGGTGCGGTAGTTGCTCTCGTGCTCGGCAATGCAGGTCCACTTGTTCAGCTGGTCACGAGGAACGCCCAGGTCGGACATCTCGCGGGCCAGGGAGCAACGGTCCATGGTGCGACCGAGAGCGGGGGCGGCAAAAGCCAAAGCAACCAAAACAATGAAAGCCTTCATGATTAAACCTCAGTAGACTGATGTCCCACTATCGAAACGCTTTCGCTTTTATAGGAAACATATAATCTCTAAAGCGCAGATATCTAGAGTACTTTGCGTATTTTAGAATTTCAGATAGAGAAATTGGTTTGAATTTAAAATGGTATTTCCTGTTTGTACGCGATAATACGAGTACAGTGCCATGAAAAAAACAAGAGCCTATTTATCATATCATATTAGTTAATTTTAAAATAATATTGATAGCTTGGTATGGAAACTGAACAGCTGCAGGGAAAGCAGAATATAAGTAAGATTTAGGAACCTCTTTTAAGAAAAAGCTTCAAGCTTTTCCTATTTACAAAACTTACTTAACAACAAATTCAAAAGTCCTTTTCAATTATTCCCAGTTTCAAAGATAAGCCCCATCGATTATCTAGTTAAGATTGACATTAAAAAGCTGCCTGTCAATAATAAAAAAGATATGTGACAAAACTGTTTATAATAATACGCACTTCAGATAGCAATAACTGGGATAAGATAACTTCGGCCTATAAAAGGGAAAGCGTTTCGGCAGTTGGACATCAGTCTACTGAGGTTTAATCATGAAGGCTTTCATTGTTTTGGTTGCTTTGGCTTTTGCCGCCCCCGCTCTGGGTCGCACCATGGACCGTTGCTCCCTGGCCCGCGAGATGTCCGACCTGGGCGTTCCTCGTGACCAGCTGAACAAGTGGACCTGCATTGCCGAGCACGAGAGCTCCTACCGCACCGGCGTCGTGGGCCCCGAGAACTACAACGGCTCCAACGACTACGGCATCTTCCAGATCAACGACTACTACTGGTGCCAGCCTGCCAATGGTCGCTTCTCGTACAACGAGTGCGCCTTGAGCTGCAACGCCCTGTTGACCGACGACATCACCCACTCCGTCCGCTGCGCCCAGAAGGTGCTCAGCCAGCAGGGCTGGTCCGCCTGGTCCACCTGGCACTACTGTGACGGTGCTCTGCCCTCCATCGATGACTGCTTCTAAACTGGATATTGATTTTTCTTTTAAATAAAAACGTTAAAACTATGAAAAGCGAAAGATCAAGTTGTTCAAACTTCGCCTAAGTCGCATAATTGGCAGCTCTTATACACGCTCAAGCAGCGTCTTATACGCGCTGGGCGAAGAGAGAGGCGAAGTGGGAGAGCGCGTCTTAAACGAGTTAAGAAAGTGGGAGAGAGAGAGAGAGGGAGAGAGCGAAAGAGAGCCGAACTAACTGTCAACGCGCGTTGAAGCCAAGTTTACGGTTGCCCGGCCTCGGCTCTGGCACAGTCAGTGCGTGACTTTTCAGCGAAACAGACGTGCGAATCGCAGCGTGTCTTGACATAATCGAGATAGACTCTGCTTTAGCTTGGCTAAAACGAACGATGGCTTTGCTAGCCGTGTTTAAGGTCTAACAAAGTGCAATCGTCAAATGCAGAGCAAAGAACTTGCAGCTTCAAGGCGAAGGTTCTACTGTTAACATATTTGCCAGCACTGGCCACTCTTAGAGTTTGGGGTAACACTGGCTGCTTCTGCTTCACAATTTCTATACCTTCACCTCAGCCACTGTTACGTGTCGCAGACGCGATTACGCGATATAAACATATAGTTATTTATATATAGACATACATATATATATATAAAGTCGTGCGGTGCGTTCTCGAGAGAAACAAGTTTTTTTTTATTGGTTAGAAAAGTGGCCTCTCCTGCTCGCACCCGCTGCCTCTTCGGGGCAGCTAACAGCATCGCGAGCGCGCGCTGATTGCATTCTAACGGTAAAACGAGTACGACTCTGACTGGCCCGGCCCGGTGCTGGCCTCTGCAACTGGCCTATTGCAGCATCCACAACAACAACAACAACAACAACAACAACAACAATAACAATAACAACAACAACAATTGCAACCGTAACTTTGCGTTTTCGCTTTGTGCTAATCTTCTCAATTTATGTTTCTTGTTCTTCGATGACGCTGCAAAGTGCAAGAAAGCCAACTTTTACAAGCTCAAAATAAATATATGAAAAGTGTCTGCACGCGCGTGTGTGTGCGTGCGTGTGTGTGTGTGTGTGTGTAGACATTTTGAGAACAATCTGCATTGGCCCAATTCCAAATCGTGCCATTTCGCTCGCATATATGCTCCAAATTGGATTTCGTTTTGGCCTAGAAGTGTGAACGGATTAAAAGTAAACGAGGTAAGTCACATCACCGCCTCCCCCTCTCCCCCCTACCACGTTCTCCCCTCCACTCAAACGGTCAACTCTCGCGCTGGCTTATCTGACGACCCATACAGTTAGTTGCCCATGACATGCCATTGTTCTCTGCCTCCCCGCCCCCCAACTCTCATGTGGTTACGCCCACCAGCTAATCTACATCTTACACACACATATACATATACACACACATACATATATGTATGAGCACATATGCTAATAGGGCTGAACTTTCTTTCAGCCAAATATAAATACGAATACAAATACGTTCAGGGCTTAGTCAAATCCTCTTGAGCAGCGCTTATGTGTGTGGCATTGAACTGCCAGTGCTGCCAATTTTTTTTATTATTTTTTTGGCTTGATAGAACCACTTGAAAGACAACAAGTGCTCGTTAGGCTGGCAGTCGATGCTATAAAAATATTGTGACCACATAAATTGTTGTGTGTGCGTTGAAGAAAAAATCAAAGCCAGAAAGAGGCAAATGCCCGACTTGAATATACCCTGTAAGTTGTTCTGAATTGTTTGAACTATATTAAGTCCAATTATTAGTTAATAGATATCATTAAAAATAAATTCCTATTACTTTGAATAGGTATTATGATATACCCTGTAACCTGCTCTGAACATTGTAGTATGCATTTATATAAACTAGTATATGTTTTTCTACATACTATCTATCTAAAGTAATCTTATAGTCTTAAAAATGAATTAGATCTGCATGTAATAGGACTATATGTTTATAGTATAAAGACGGACAGGCAGATGGACCTCGATTCGACTGTTATTAAGCACAAAGAAGCCTCCATCTGGCTGTAACATATACAATTGATCAACTGCAATACACCCTCCATCAAATTGATACAGGGTAGACAAAAATGATATTTCAGACAAATTACATTTAACCGTACTCGAAAGCGGCAAAAAGCGCCATAGAAAAGATGAAAAATTGAATTGGCGACGGCACGCTTCGATCCCCTCAAGCCCCACCCGTCCAATCTTCGAATGCCCCATGCCCCAATCTGCCCGACTCGAGCTGCAGCTGCTAACAATGCCACTTGCCGCAGAGAGAAGTGTAAGACAAACAATAAAAGAAACATCAGTGGGCAGCACAGACACACACATAACAAATACAGGTAGACCATACCTGTATATAGTTGGACGAAAAGTGTTCCGGTCTGATTTAACAATTGTTAATAATAAATAGCTTATGCATTGGACACGCTCCAACTGGACAGTTGGGCGTCACACGCAACCGACTGGCCAACATACGAGCTACTCAAACACTTTCGGCTAAGCCCCAAAAAAAGAGAAGATACATATGAATCCGTTAAAAAGAAATTTACTTTTCACGGCATTTTGCGGTTGGGCGCAAATTCTTTGTTTGGCTTGTTTTGAAGGCGCGTTAGGGCATTTGCTGCAGTCGGTTTCGAAACCCAACAATAGACAGCTGTTGGACACCTGACAAATGAGGCAATTGTTGATTGAGTAACCGCAATTCGCTTAAAGCCGCTCTTTGTGCAGCTTAGGCAATGGGCTTTGTATACCCTGTATCTGTAGGTAGAAATTGGGTGCAATTCACATTATGCACGTTTTATCGATTCGAGTTCGATTAGCAAACAAGTTAGCTTACTTTTGCCAGCAGCCACGTCGATAAATATCGATTTTCAACTCTGATTTTAAATTTAAACTTGATTATAGAAGAATGTGCATCATTATTAATGAAAAGATAGGACTTAGTTTAATAAACTATCCACTAAGGAGTCAAGCTGATTTTTGATAATCTAATATCGATCAGACAATTAAAATAGTAGTAAAATTCCCGAACGATTTATACACAATATAAGAAAGCCCTAGCAAGAACTCCATTTAGTTCCCATTTACACTAGTTACAGGGTATCTCAGCGTCGCACACCCTAACAAATGCCCCCCTTAGTTATTGCAAGACTAATTGAACCAATTAGAATTGGCCCAAAGCATTTGGTATAAAGTGTTTAAAGCGGCAGTCATCCAAGTGAGCTAAAAGGCCAGCTGTCCACACAAATAATCAGCCAAGCTCTCAATTTGCATTAACTACTCGAAGTTGGGTTAGTTTGGAGCGTGTGCACATCTTGAGGACTATCGAATGCGAGCCATATCAGTCGCAGGTACTTGAGATAGACAAGCATTCAAACAACTTCTACAATTAGATAGGTTTGCACTGCACTTGGCTTTCCATCAGGGGATTGCCCCTAGATCATGTTGAAAACTCCATTGAATACACAGTACAAAAAAACAAAACTTGATTCTTAAGAAGGAAAATCAACTCCATTCTAAGAACTAAAAGCTAGAAACTAGATAAGTAACTACAACAAGCATTCGGGGAAGAACCCTGCTCTAGATATTAATATGACTGGGTTAGATCAAATATCGTTTGCTTCTTAAAAGATCTTAAAGTATATTTGTTGTGCTTGAACATTCTTCAATTAAGTATGGAACCATCTTGATTTGAAAACTAATTGTAAATGTTATAAAAATAATATAAGAGCAAAATATTAAAATAAGATTTAGTAAAAATAAGTTACTAACAAAATTTGAATGCTTGAAATAGAGTAAAATATTCTTCACGGCAAATGCAATATTATTTTAGGAAAAGTTCTATATATGTTTCTTGAACTTAGGAATTGCGAGAATAAATTGAACTCCTTATAAAAAAGTCAAACCCGAGTTTCGACAATGTTTATAATTGATTATAGCACATATTACATATTATTTCTGTCATTTAGGTATATTTTTCTCTATCAGGTTGAAGATATTTGGGCTTAAAGAAAAGCTTCTTGAGATAAAAGTTTCTTGTCAAGCTTCTGAAATTTCGAACTTGACTGAAATCGTGAACTTCCCTTATGAAAAGTCGAATCCAGCTATTGACAATGTTTAAACTTGATTTAAGCACAAATTGTAAGATTTCTTTCTGTCATTTGGGGTTATTTTCCTTTATCAAATTTAGTATTTTTGGGCTGCTTGAGATTTGAATTTCTTCTTAAGCTTATGAAAATTCAAGCTTGACTGACTTCAAGCAAAGTTTGCAATTGAGTTGAGCATAAAATTCTTGGCTCCTTCAGGCTTCAGGCGATGATAGACTAGATATATACTCTTCATGTTCGATCTGAATGTCTGAACTTGCATCGAAGCCAACTTCGGAGTTGTTGATTTTCTGAGGCGCCATTGATTTGTTGATGAAACCGATTGTGACGGACAGTAAAATTGTGTTTGGTTTTGCCACTTTCTCCCAATTTCCGAAGCTGCCAATGTTTGACCAGGAGCGGGCCAATGCGATTATAAATTCCAAAACAGCTTATAATTGCGCACATATCGTGCAGCAGCCCTGGGCGACTGTCAATCAACTCAATCGATAGCCGCGATTTGTCTAATGAATACGACATTGTTATATCCAACGATTTCCAGAGTTACCCTCGACATTTGCGACGTCTATTCAACTCATGCGGAACTCAGCTGACAAATTTTTTGATATATTTGCACTATTTGCTTAACATTTTTGTCTGTGAATTAAACTCAAAGTCGCTTCACCTCCAAACAAAATGAAAATAAATAAACAAAACTCAACACCTGTTCGACTGGTTTTTGGACTTAATGCTTCAAGCGATCATAATTAATATGTTTCTGGGGTTGGCCCATAAATTGGCGTTGACCCGCTGTCATTTGTGGTTGGCCACCTTCCGAAAGCCTCAAGTTTACTTTCTACGCGAGAGAGATGGCGCGAAAATTTGCCAGCTATTTGGCTTTAATGGTCAAACAAATTGCTTTTTAATAAAGCCACATTTTCTATGTTTATAAACCTATAAATATTCTGCCTAAAACTTATTAAAAACTCATTATTGGTTTATAAATTGGTTCCATTCCCAAGAAGATCTACAAGCTAGTCCTGCAGTTCCTATAGCTGAGCCGGGCTAGGGTATGGATGGGGGATTATCTTAGCACAGATTCCAATAAGACTATATTTTTACCTGATTTCCTACTAAGAAGGAAATAGCCAGATTCGACTAGCTCTATCTTATTCCAAGTATGCCGTCCTTTGTAAGTATTTCAAGAAATTCAGTATTTTCAGTATTTTCAGTATTTTCAAAGTGAATTCAAAACATACTTGAAAAAAACCGCTTATTCTTGCTTCAATTACAAATTAAACTAGAATCAAGTTCTTTAAGCCTTGAAGCATAAAGCCTGAATAATTAACAGAGAATCTATCTATTGTTGTCATGCTAAGTTTAGCTTGATTATTTTACATATTCCTACACAATATACCTCCTAAGTACTTAGTTTCCACAGAACCTCAAGCAGTTTAAGAGCATCATCCAATTTTATTACACATTTACTTTAATTCATTCCAAAAAAATCGTGTCCAATTGTGATCAGCTTAGAAGCAATCGTTGATGGAGGGCAGAGCACCGTCACAGTATTTCCAGGTGGACCAGGCGGACCAGCCCTGCTGGCTGAGCACCTTCTGGGCGCAGCGGACGGAGTGGGTGATGTCGTCGGTCAACAGGGCGTTGCAGCTCAAGGCGCACTCGTTGTACGAGAAGCGACCATTGGCAGGCTGGCACCAGTAGTAGTTGTTGATCTGGAAAATGCCGTAGTCGTTGGAGCCGTTGTAGTTCTCGGGGCCCACGACGCCGGTGCGGTAGGAGCTCTCGTGCTCGGCAATGCAGGTCCACTTGTTCAGCTGGTCACGAGGAACGCCCAGGTCGGACATCTCGCGGGCCAGGGAGCAACGGTCCATGGTGCGACCGAGAGCGGGGGCGGCAAAAGCCAAAGCAACCAAAACAATGAAAGCCTTCATGTTGACAATTCTTCTATTCAGGAACTGATGTCGTAGGCTTGCAATTCGTGCCCTTTTATAGGGCCATATTATCGCCAAGCTAACCCAATCTCAAGTGCATTTGACTAAATTACAAATATTTGATAGCTAGAGGGCTTGCCCGTCTTATCTTATCTGATAAGTTTACATTCAAGAAGTCTCGAGATGTAATACAAAGTTTATAGAGTACCCCAGCTGTATTATTTAATTTACCCTAATCAACTCCCAAACATCCCAAATTGACTGCTGCATGATATTTGTTGTGGTTGGGATTCTGCCCTTTGACTACTCGAGTCGCCGGTTCGACTCGTTTTTGTCGCGCTCTGATATCATAACGAATAGAGCTGAGTCTGTTTTTAATTCGACTGATCCGCTGTCATTTGCTGTGCTTCATTCAAGTTTACTTTCTATCAGAGAAAATGTGCAAAAAGGTTCAGTTTTTTTATGGGCACGCAGCAAATTGTTTGTTTTGTTTAGCAAAAGTTTCTAAATTTTATGGTTTTATTTATGGACGGCACACATTGAATTAGATTAGCGCTCATTTCAACTTAATAAGCGTTAATACAAACAAAAAGTAGAAACTCTTGCGAAACTCATTTCAGGCTATTGACAAACATTCTCTACATTCAACATTCTCTACATTTTTGCGCATGAAAGTGACAGTTTTCTTTGAATTCGCGTTGGTCACCCTAAACAGTTGATTAGTAATCCGCTTTGGTCACCCTTATTCTTAAGCAGCCGTGCTAATACAGGTTTAAGTGTTGGGCAACACTTTTGCATTGTTTGAAAAAGATTTTAGAAAGTCTTATTAAGAATATATCATTAATATTAAGCTCTATAAGGGTTAATTTTAATATGAGCTTAACCTTTAGTTGTTCAGTTGCCCAAAAAACTTCTTAGCCGAAACCCGAACTAAACTATATTCTTTTATTTAAATATTATTTGACTTAAAATGAAAATCTTTGGAAAAAGAGACAACTCGAAGGCATCAAAAGCTTGGATCCCATTTATTGAATCTAACCAAATTTGTTTGGTAGATGCCAATTTTGGGTGAAGCTGAAATCTAGCCCGCTATTTCTTTGTGAAAATATGTACGATATAACATAATTTCAGTAGAAAGGGCAACTATAAATTACAAATATAATTATTTAGTTAAAGTTTTAACCAAAGATTGGGTTTCGGAATGTGGACGAACAGGTTGAAGAACCTAACCCAAAGGCAGGCAGACGATTTGAACTATAAGCCGAACCTTTAAACAGCTGTGATTAAATGTGAAAAAAAGATTAAAACGAATCAATTAACATTCTTGAAGTCTTGATATGCAGACTTGTAAACAGTTGAGTATCATTTGGAAACAGAACCAGCTCAATTTTGGGCCTAAAAGTTCTTGAACTGGGCTGACAATTTGGACTATCTGGACTATTATCGTAACAGTACTTTCTATTGCTATCATTTTGGACATATAATTGGACAATTAGCGGTGACTTTTATATAAATGACGCATAATTGGTCAGCCGTGATTCCGAATGCCCGAATGCCCAAGGCTCATGCATATGCGATGAGGTATTTAGAAATTCTTGCCCGACTAAAGAACTGTTAGCTGACCCATAAACACGAAGTCAAGCTGTTGGCTGCTAGTCGAAAGGTTTTACTTATATTAGCTTATAAGACAAACAAGAGTAAAAGTGAATAGAGAAGAATTCACAAGTCAGCAGCCGGCTAGAAAATCGATAATTCATGGATATCTAAGAGGGTCACGCTCCAAGCCACGCTTTTGTCAGTCATTTGGCCAAATGGTTATACAGTAGCCTTTTGTCATTTGTCTTTCGCTGTTAACCCAATGCCAAGAGGTTAACAACTTTCTTGGAAATGTGTAGAAATCTCCGGTCAACAAGTGCTGCCCCGGAACCCAAGGAATACCGCTAGCGATTAATGCAGTTGATGGAAAGAAGATTTGTGTGTGGTTGCAGCGGGTGCGCCTCCCAACATAACTTATTACGCAGATACACTCAGCGAAAACACGTAGTATGAATCGAGTTAATGCTAAAGTTAAGTTACACTTTAACCGTGAACCTAACTTAACTTGATGATGGCTATCTTCTAAATACTAATGCTCAGATCTTGTGTACTTAAGTTAAGCGCAAATGTAGTTTAAGCACTTAAAAACTTTTTTTAAGTTTTAAGCTTTAAAAACTTAAAGTCTTAGACTTGCTTTAAATTAAAGTGAGACTAAAATCGTTTGCAAATATGATAATATACTTGTCAGTTAATTTCGACCTTGCCCCACATCGGGCACAAGCTGCTCGCCATATTTTCTTTCAGTGTACAATGCATGATGCTACATGCCTGCGCTTGAATGGGGTTAATATAACAGCGCGTAGCGTCGGAGATGACGGGTTTTGCATAGTTGCGGTTGGGTCTTCAGACTGCGGCCTATCTCTTGTCAGCCTCCATGTCGAGAAAGCATCTGTGTGCATCTGAGTTGGCGTCGTTAATGTTCACGTTGATGATGTGTGTTAGCCTTCGGGCTCTGTGCCGAGTCACTGGCTTTAACGACTCAACTTGCGACCGTTATGAAATATAGCCATAAGTACACACGGTTGAGTTCTGTTCAAGAAAGAGTTGCAGGCCAAGTAGCTCTAAGGTCTGGCCAGTGTTGGCAAAGAAAGAAATAAAAAAGCGCAAGAAGAAGCGAAACGAAGCTCATTTGAGGCGACAAAATGGGCTTAAGGAAAAAGTTATGAGTTTTCGCTGTTTTCTTCATTTAGCTACAACAATTATTGCTGCTGCATTCGTAAATCAAAATAATATATAGCTCAGATATATTAGAGCGAAGTTTTTCAGGAAGCTTTTCACAAGCTCTCACAGCTCAATTTAGCTTAGAGTGAAAAGAAGTCGACTTCAGTTTACAAAAATATCGAAATATACAAATAAAATTGGACTTAAATGTTAAATAAAGCAGGCTAAAACGAACAATACATAAATACAAAAAATAGCCGAAAAAAAGCTTAGATAAAACATAAATAAATAAATGGGAAAAAAAGCTAACAAGGTTTGAAAAAAAAAACACAATTCACCCGCTGCCCTTGCACTTTAAAAAAGTACAAAGAAATCTAAATTGAACGTAAAATAAGCGCAATTGGCAGCACTGGTCACTGAAGAACAGTGCTGCCCTCTACTCTCAGTTCCGAGATGTAAACAAGCATCGCTCGTAGCCTACTTTAAATATCAATAGCCAACGCTTAAGGCCTGGTAATTGCAAAACGAAGACCACGAAAATTTGAAAAAAATGAAGGTTAACCAGGTTAATGGTTAACATTTAAGTACTAGCATTTGGCCTAACACACATAACTCTTTAACTGGGCTAATTTAAGCGCTTGTTCGAGTTTCAAGCCCAGCTCAGGCACATAGTATTTATCTAGTAATACTTTTTGACTAATTTAACAGACTTTTGTTCAATTGATTAGCCGCAATGTACTCCCGATAATGATAAGCAAATCTGCAAATTGTCGCAAATCACGCGGCCACTTCAGATAGCGCTTAGCATAGATTATTTTTGCCTATAAAAGTCCAGGCCTTTTAGCCTTTCTTCATCAGTTTCTGAATAGAAGAATTGTCAACATGAAGGCTTTCATTGTTTTGGTTGCTTTGGCTTTTGCCGCACCCGCTTTCGGTCGCACCATGGACCGTTGCTCCCTGGCCCGCGAGATGTCCGACCTGGGCGTTCCTCGTGACCAGCTGAACAAGTGGACCTGCATTGCCGAGCACGAGAGCTCCTACCGCACCGGCGTCGTGGGCCCCGAGAACTACAACGGCTCCAACGACTACGGCATCTTCCAGATCAACGACTACTACTGGTGCCAGCCTGCCAATGGTCGCTTCTCGTACAACGAGTGCGCCTTGAGCTGCAACGCCCTGTTGACCGACGACATCACCCACTCCGTCCGCTGCGCCCAGAAGGTGCTCAGCCAGCAGGGCTGGTCCGCCTGGTCCACCTGGCACTACTGTGACGGTGCTCTGCCCTCCATCGATGACTGCTTCTAAGCTTTTTTGTTGATGAAAAATAAACTCGAAACCTAATGAATTGAATTGACAGTCTTTCCTTAATCTAACTCAGACCTTCAGACTCATTCCTTTTCCATGAGGTTTTTGGCTCTTTGCTCCTTTGGATGGAAGAGCCAAAACAAAAGACACTTGGCGTTTGCCAAAAAGGAACAGAACATAATGTTCTTATACGATTTTCATATATTTCATTTATTTCGATTCTATCCTCAATCAGATTTCGGAGCAGTTGGTTTGGTTCTGAGAAAAGATCCACTGAAAAATTTCGAAAATGGAATCTCCGTTCATTTACTGTGTGTGTGTTTAATCTTCGACAAATGTGCTTTCTTCTGGCTTTGCTTAATAAATGACATTCTTAAAGTGAAGTTTTCGTCTTGGGCTGTTTCCATTCTCGATTGTCGAGCGTCGAGCGTTGACCGTCGGTTGCCGTTCTTCCACAGTCGTAATTGGCTGTCTCTTAACATGTTCGTGTGCTTTCTAAAGCCATAGATGAGATCGAAGAAAGACCAATAACAAAAACGCATAACGAAAGCAAGAATCAATCTGCGGAGAACTGAGATCGAGAGAGAGGAACTTGACTAGACTTCCCTACCGTTCACTCACACAATAGGCCGTTGACTTGGATCGGTCAGTGAATTCTTAATGGCAAGAGGGAAAACAGTCGGTGGGCAATATAATTTATACAGGTAGCCGGCAGTAAATGGGCAACTTAGAACCGGGCTAAGGAAGTGGCAATGCATTAACAGAGAGACACACTGAAAGCCCGTCTGGCGAACAGGCTTGAAACAAAGCAGGAAATCAAAAACTGGAAAATTATACCGTCCCGGCGGGGAGGTTAGGCGGTGTAAATGTCAGCAGACCTTTTCCTTCCACCAAGTGCAAAGTTGTACTTGCTCTCGACTCTTTCCTATAATTTGTGCACATTAGCACAACTGGGCCCC